GGGTGCTATCTGGCACCCGGGCCGTTGGTGCCCCGGGCCTCCCCCCCCCCCCCCCCCCCGGCTCGATGGGGTTCTCCCTTGTTCCTGACGCGCCCCGGCCGCACCATGTCGTCCTTTGTCTTTCTCATGTGGGCGTGTGTATTTCCACCATGCACGTATGTATGCTCATCGCCACACCGCATGGGCCCGGGGCACACAGCCATATTTTGCTCGACGTGCACAGATGCGCAGGCACCCCCCCTCCGCACGCCTTCACACCCCCAAGGCACACATGTGCAGGGTGAGTGTACGTGTGTGTACGTGTGCGCGCGTGCGTGCGTGTGCGTGTACAGGGGGTTGTCTCACTGCTGGGTCACATCTACCGGCATGGGGGCAGAATCGGGAGCAGTCATGTCGGTGGGCATCAGGTCGCCATCACACTGCTGGCCAGGAGTGGTGGTGGTGGTGGCGGTGGTGGTGGCGGTGGTGGTGGTAGCGGGGGTGCCATCGGCCGGCGCCGCCGACGAGTTGCTCGCATCGCGGCCGGCCGCCGTCATCGCCTCGTCCGAGGCGGTCGGCGTGACGCCCGGCGTGGCGTCAACCGCAGTCCGCGGCGGGGGATTGGTCACACAGTCCCGCGCCACATGGCCTATGGAGTTGCACCGGAAGCACACCAGATCCCGGGGGGCAGGCGGCTCCGGGCACTTGGACCCGATGTGGCCCGTGGCTCCGCAGTTGAAGCAAATCAACTCGCTGCTGCACTGCCGCGCGATGTGGCCAAAGTTGCCGCACACGAAGCACCGCATCGACCGGGCCCGGTGGAAGGAGCGCCCGTCGCCCGATGCAGCGGGCCCCACCCCGCCACTGCCACCCGAGCCGCCGGCACCGCCGCCCATTTGCGACATCATGTACGGCCCGACCACGCCACCGGAGGCCCCCGACCCGGGAGGCCCGGCATAGGGGCCGGCCCCGCGCGGGTCATGGCGGCCACCGCCCGGGGCCCCGCCCATACGCGGCGGGCCGCCCAGCTGGTTGTCCATCGGCCGCTGCGGGTGGTGGTGATACTGCCCAGGCTGGTGGTAGGCCGGCACGCCAGACATGTGGTGGTGGTGGTGGGGGTGGCGCGCGCCGGGCGGCATGCCGCCCACGCGGCCATGCTGCGACATGTCATTCGAGTGGAAATAGCCCTCCGACATGGGGGCCTGCCCCTGCTGCTGGTCGTACGCATCCTTCGGGGCAACCTTCGGGCAGAAGCGGAGCTACAGGACACGGCCAGGCAGAGCCGGTAAGCACAGGGTCAGAGGGGAAGGGGCGGCGATGGCAGGGCGACAAAAGTTCGATAGGGAGATCTCCCTCCCTCCCGAGGGGGGGGGGGG